ATTCATCGAGCTTACCTTGTTAGCATACTGGTTGTTGGCGGCGCATTCACTGCTTTCGCTCGAGCGCGAAGGCAGCATTTTGTCCAGAGTTATATTTGCCAGGTTATGTATATCCACTGACTGAACTTCAATTTTAGATATCAAACTACGCGCACCTGCTGTTCGGCCAGCGCAACGCTGATTTCCGCAAGCGCAACTAAACGTAAGTCAGTTCGCAATTCATCTGCTTTACATTCTGGCTCACCTCGTCATCGAATAGGTTCATTTGTCGCTGCCGAAGACCTCTGAACACAAGTAAGTTCATTATCCAACCTACCAGGCTGACCTTGTCCTCAGCAACCATCCTGGTCGTTGGCGGCAGCGCGAAGCCATGATTGTCTTCCTAACTTGGTCAGTTGCATTCCCAAGGTTTATATCCACTTACTGAACTTCCACCAGCCGAGCTTCAAGCTCGCAGACGAAACTAAAAGCAAGTGAGTTAACAATTCATTTACTTCGAGTTCTCGCTTACCTCGTCGTCGAAAAGCTACGTTTGTTGCGATCGAAGGCCGCTGAAACGATTAGTGAGTAAGTTAACTTGGTTCTGCTGCTCATGCTCACGTTTACAGCCAAAGCAAGCGCCGAGCGCGAATGGGCTCGCAAGTGACACTAGTACTGAAGGCGAAATCCCTCGTTGTCAGTAGACGCCATCAAAGGCCTTTGGAACAAACCTACGAGTCCGCGCGCTTACGTTCGCTGCAACCAAACTATGTTGAGTTGTTGTTACTGTTCGCGCTCACCTTTGCAGCTCAAGCAGGCGAGTGCGAGCCCAACGTTCGCTTCTAAGCCTCCAAAGCAAAACTGAAGGCCAGTAAGTTTGTAATTCATTTACTTTCACTGTTTGCTTACCTCCTCGTCAACAGTTTCACTGAAACAAATCAGTAAGTATCCGAGCTTGTTGTTGGCGTTCGCGCTCACCGTTGCAGCGAGCGCAACAGGCGAGCGCGCAAATGTAAGCCCATCGTTGGCCAGTTGTCGTTTTGCGAACGACGCTCTATCAAAGCAGTAAGTCGAGATACAACAAACTTCAATTACCAACCAGCCCTCCTACATTCGGCGTTCTAGATGAGTCGTGGTCGTCGGAGTCGTCCCAGGTAAGTGGTTATTTTTGCCGCTTACTTGTTTGTTGACACCCTTCCGAAAGCAACCATATCGCTCCCTTAGTCGCCTTCAACAACGACAACGTCGGGATTTCTGTTGTCGCGGGCATTGTTGAGCTCGAGTTAACAAGCTCTAGAACACCCAAGGCGGAACCATAATCGTTAACACGGTTTCGAAGTACGGATTTGGCAGTTGCGGGAATTGAGCTTGACTGGGGCGGAACGGCAGGTGAGCAAATCATGTCTTCCCGAATCTGCCCCAACTCACCCGCTCCCCAACACTGCATTCGGCTCACCTTCCCGGCCAGAACGAGCGGTTGCGCCGTTTGGGTGGATTGCTTCAGCGGGAGGGATTTGCCGTTCCGGAGGTCCCAGTAGCCAGTATGTAGTCGTGAGATGGAGGGAAAGCCAGACGCCGGCTGTGCCGCCTGGCCTGAGTTTCGCCGTTGCCGGTGGTGGTTGCTGCTGCGAGAGCTGGGCCGGCTGCAAAGACGGTCAGCGGGCCAGTCGGACTGACACTCACCGTGTTCCGCAAAACGGTGCCGCCATCTCCCCTTGTGCGAGGCGTGCCGGTTGTGATCGGAACCCGTAGCTGGCTGGACCCGCGCGGAATGAAGTGGTGGTCGCCGTAAGAATGTCGCAGTAGACTACTGCTGATGCTTGTCGGAGGGCTGGAAGCCAGAGTCCTTGGCCGGCCGGCCACGCTGCCAGTTTGTGGGAGCTCGGTTTCGGGATGGAAGAGAGTAGTTCGTGGTGGTCGTGGAAAGAGCGTCGGTCCGGGTCCCGGCGCCGGGCGTCACAGCACTGCCAAGGCGTGACCCGACCTTCAAGCGCCAACGCCGAACACCACAATGCACCGACCAACCGTCCAGCTGGCGCTGCGTTAGCCCTACGACTGCTTGACAGCCAGGTTGGTTTGCCGCTCGCTGTCACCATTTGTGTGGCTCACCGTGTTTTGCAGAACTCGTCTACTTCCTTGAGCTTGAAGCTATCCTCGACCACTGCCGACATATACCAACGACGCGCGGCCGAGCTGGAGACAAAAATTCTCCCTGATCGCGTCGCTTACGTGAGCACTTTCCGCGGTACATTTTGCTCAACTAACTTTTTTTTTTTTTTTTTTGCTGCCAGAACCGCGAGCAACGCCTCGGGCTTGAACGGAAGGGGTGTAGTCTGGACTGTGGAGGTCGTCGCTGGCGTGCGCGAAGGATGTGCTGTGGTCCTCTCGATCGATCGACACAAAGTACGTGTTGAGTAAAACTCGGACGAACATGGGCAAACCTGACCGTTGTAGCCCCATGATTTCGCCCAAACCAGCCCAACAAGTGTTGCTGAATGCAGAAAACACACTCCCTGATTCGCGTCCGCTGCTTGTGATAAATGGCTTTCCAAAGACCAACGTTGCAAAACTATGAATTCACGGAGATAACGCTTACCTCGTCGGTTTAGTTTACTATCGAGCTCTCCGCCCTTAGCTAATGGCCCAGCACTCCCGTTTCACGTAGAACGTCAGCGGGAACACGCGCTCACTTCCGGCCAGCATACCCAGCCTGGCAAGTGCTGCTGAATGCAGAAAACACGCTTGCACCGCTGACTACTCGTCAGTTTCCTTAGCAAAATGGGATAATCTGCCATACCTGACCAGTTCAGCGTTTGGGAGCGGCGAGGCGGCGGAGGAGGAGCCTGCGGCGGAGGAAGATCCGAGGCACGCGGCGTGCGGCGTGCGTGCCGAGATGACCACATCACCGTTTCATACCGCAAGGGCTCGAAGGACGCCTACACCGGTCGTTGAGCAAGATAACACTGTTGTACAATTTATCAGATTTTACGCTCCTGCAAACATTATGAGCCCTCTTCCGTTGTCCGTCCCGCCCGCGAGTGCCGCCAACCGCTTGAGCTGCGACGCCATTTCTCCCTTTGGCTTGTCGCATGCGCCACAGCGGGTGGCGACTATGCGACTTGAGGGCAATCAGCACATAAATGTTTGCCGCCCACGGGCATTTCCGTGCCCGTGCCGCCCAATGGCGCACTTTAGGAGAATTTCCCAGACAAATATATGCCTCCATGATGGCATTGATGGCGGCGTGGTACTGCGCCTCGCCCTCGAGCTTTTCCTGCTCCAACAGCGCTATTTGCTCGAGACACTTGTTGATGAGCCAGTCGTCAGGCAAAGACCGGTTGACGGCCCACAACTGTACGGTTGGAATGAACGAGCGAATCTTGGCACGACGAGTGTCGGAGTTGATGGGGTCAAGACACGCATCACACGCGCAAACGAATCCGTATGGCTTGAAGGTCTGCTGGCGATTCGCTGCAGTGTCCCAGACGTCGGAATAAGCCAACGTCAGTTCTTCGCCTTCCGCAATGTCACGTGCTGCATAGATCGTATAGGAGATAGACGCGTCGTGGAAGTTGGTGCTCGTATTGGGGCAGCAACTGTAAGAAGACTATCAGAGAAAGACGAAAATACGATAGGAAGACGTGCCTATTGTTCATGCGCGAAATAAAATGCGGGACAGAGCTATACTGTGCCATTGGACCACTCATATCAGGGCAAAGTCCATCCAGACCGATGCTATTCGTTCGGATTCGACCAGCTATAGGTCCCTTGCAACAAGACGAGTTAGTAACACAAAAGAAAGAAATGTGAGTGACAACTCACTGATCCATCGGTCGTATGGCTGTTTGCAAGGGACATGAAAGCATCCCGATCTGCAGGCCGCATTTCCTTCAAAACCACCTCTAGGTACTTCTCAAACTCTTTCAAGTTCAGCTGGTATTTTGTCGTCTGCTCCTGACTATACCAGATGGGCACTGCGACGGGCACCCCGCGAACGCTGATGAGCAATGGCCGCTCATCGATGATAAGCTCTCCTTGACCGAGAGCACGAGCAGCAAAAAGACCAAGCCCCTTGCTTCCCGCCTCTCCAACTCGGAACGTGGGTTTGGACACCGTGCGTAAGGGCTGAGGATAGCCCGGCATCTTCGTCAACACCTCTTTTGAGCCGGGCCAGAAGAAACAGACGGTGACGGGCTCATCGGGGCCTGCGTTTGCTGGCAGGACGACAATCTCGGTGGAAGAGAAATCGAGTGGGGCAGTTTCGCCTTGAAAATTGAATTATGAACACATTTTGACCACACAAAACACATACTACTGGCGCCATAGCCAAGGAGCGCGGCGGCACCGTCGAGAATACCTCGTATCATGGTGAGGGGACGTGAAAGACGAGAGGCGCGATGGCTGCTTCTTTTTGCGACCCATCTAGTGTCCACACATCTGACTTGGCTGGTTTCACACCTCTTCACATTGCTTGAAGTAGAGTTTTTGCTCAAACAAAGTATGGGTATGCTAGTTCAAAGCACAGTCGAGCAATATACTGCCAAGAACAAGTATTGTTGCACCTGCGGCCGTTGTGCAGGCGGCTGGCTGTCTCCCCGCATGCGTTTTCAGCTCGAGTGTGAGTATCCTTTCCGCGTCTTCGCTCCCACCATTTGATAGTGTCGATTTAGGTCAAGCGGTTTGTTTGCGCAAAAGTATGTCCTGACTCCATTTGAAGACTAAACAGTTTCAGCGCATATTTTAGTGGTGAAAACCATGACTGGGAGGACGAGAAGAGATGACATATACATGTATTCCATGAACAATACACTACGTCTCAGCGCCCAAGGCGACGCCTACTCCTTCTCTTCGTCTGCCCAGCAAATAGCTCCTGACCACAAACCTGTTGCCCATGCTCCAAAACAACCCCAATCCTGTCTTGCGCGGATAGCGAAAAAAACTAATTCACTATCCACGCCGTCCTCTCGCGCTTGCGCTCCCCGCCATTGGGTCAAACATTGGCGGTGCCCAGTCAAATTCCGTTACCCGGCGTTGTCTTGGGTGTTGAGGCGGCTCCTGTTCTTGAGATTACAAAGTCCAATAGAGAGAGAAACTCACTCACTCGCGTTCGCAGACATCAGGGGATGAGGCATGCTGATGCGAGTGCATGCCCTGGGCGTTATTCACGCCTCTGGCAGCAAAGAATCTGCAAAAAAATGAGTTTTGAAAGGCGAAAAGATGGTGCAGAATGTACTTGCGTAACATCACATCCCAGCAAATCTTACTCTCGTTTTCGCGCGGTGTCTGGTGCAGGAAATGAGCGAAAGTGGGAGTAAATGAAGGCTCAAAACTGACCGTCGCGTCCCGGAAGGCTTTCAAGCCTGTCCTTGTATGCATCTGGGGGGCGGGCAGCAAGAGTTGCACCTGCAATGACTTGTTGAAGAGGTTTGAGGATGGCAGCAAAAAAGGGACTCACCTTTTGCCTGCCGAGCTCTCTCAACCGCGCCGGCCCAACAACCCACCTGTCAAAACCTTCTGCCTTTGAAGACTGCGCGGCATTGCCAACGGTACTTTGCTGTAATTCGGTCAGGCATTAGAACGCCAAACGTCAAGGCGACAACTCACGCGTTGTTGTTGTTCTCTACTTGCAATGGCGCGGCGTGCTGTACAGCCTTGTAGCAAGAGCAGATGGGTCTGAATCGAAGTAAACAAGTGTCACAGTAAGATGCGAATGCAAAACTTACCTTGAATCCATGGTTCCCCATGTTCCCAAACAGGCCTGGCATTTTCTCGGGTGTTGGGCATTGGCTCGTGCTCCATATCTGCCGAGCTCGTTAGATAACAGAGTCAAGTAGCGAACAACTCACTCACTATCCACAATGTGATGCGCCTAACGGCGCATGGCTCGCGTTCGCAAGCGACGGAGGCCACCAGAGGACAAAATATGTTGCTGCGAATGCGTGACTTTCATGTCCAGGGCGTTATTCACGCCTCCGGCGGCAAAATCCTGCAAAAAAGTGAGTTTTAAAACGCAAAAAAGTGTCCCAGAAAGGGCTTACGTAAGCGCAGTGATCCAAGCAAATTCACCGTCCTTTTCCAAGTTTTCGCGCGATTAAGGGCTGTCTGCCGCGAGAAATGAGCCAAAATTGCAACATAATCAAGGCAAAGACTGACCTCGTTGGCTTGGCAGAAGGCTTTCGAGGCCGATGGGGGAGGGCGGGTTCGTTGAGTGTAGTTCGTGCCTGTGCAGGAATTGGGGCAAAACTGTGTTGACCTTTCAATCATGTTGTTGATACATGAACGAGTAACGCACCTTATGATAGCAGCAACTATGCGTCCCCGACCATCCTTCACTCCCTCTAATTGGAACGTGGTGGTGGTAGTGGTGAAGGATGATGATCGAGCTGGAAGAAGGTAAGCACACTCCGCTGTTGTCAATATGCTTTGGCCACGTACCTTGAAGCCGAATATCGCTGCTATCCTTCTCACAGTATCAGTCCCACCTGTGCCTATCGACAGTGTTGCTAATTTTGAAGTCGAAGAACGCGCTGCAGAAGACTTGAGTCAAGAAAACAGAGAGAGTACAAATCCGCACCTTGCAGTTTAAAAGACGAATAAGGCGAGTGCTGGGATGTCGGAGCGTAATAAGCAAGCATGTGTGAATGTATAGCCGGAAGACGGACCAAGGCCATAAGGAACGACTGTGGACCAGTGTGGTGGTCGAAAGACAAGTCACAAATTTGTGTGACGGCACGCGATAATCTTGACTGCGACCTCCTCCTAACGCTCAAGCCGTATCTAGCAAGCCGGAAAACACTCAGGCACCGTCTCAAACTCACTCGGCAACTCCGTGCCCTCTCGAACTAAGGCTACGGCTACGACAACATCAATCCCGCCTCTTCTGTGCCGATTCAACTCCCGGAGACGATGCAAGTCTTGTGCTAGCTTGAAACGGGTGAGTTGTAGACAAATTGTAGCGGACCAATATACTCACTTATCCCCCAAACAGACTGCAACGACGACCTTTTGCGAAACTCGGCCCGCAATTTCGCTAGAGTCAAAATGCAGACAAACGCCGACCAACAACCCAACTCCAATAACGACCACCGTCCACCCGAGCGCCGATTTAGACCAAGATCTTTCCAAAAAGAGGTCAAACGACGGTCAACGGCTATCTCAGGCTTTTCACCAGGCGGGGACAACAACGAACAAGGTCTTCTTGACTTCTCCACGGCCACTCATGACACCACCTCCGACAGCTATTTCAAACTAGCGGATACAACAACAAGCTGCGCGCTGTTGCAGATGACGACGACAACAACAAGGAAGCGGACGTTGGGGAGGGAAAATAACTTGCGAGTCAGGTCAGTCCAGACTGTGAATGTGGAGAACGACACCTTACTCGTTGTGAAGGGCGGGAACAACGACAGCGCCAATGTCTTTAGCCAGCACCATCCTGTATGAACTCCGCCTCTCCCGTCGTTGTTTACGACCACTAACACCTGCTAAGATTCAAGTTAGCACAAAAAAACTCGGCGAATAGCGTCAAGACACACTGCCAAAGTCAAGGCCTTCAATCTGACGACAAGGCTCAGCGCTGTCGGGCCAGTACCGCACTCGCGACCGTCAACCACCTACTGCCCGACTCCAATCCAATTTACGCCGACTTCTCCGGCAACCCGGCGCAGACTTGTTAAGTCAGCACGGAAACGGCAACGGCAGTCTAACAACTCACGGATACCTTGCCGCAAAACACGGTTTTGACCCAAAACACGTTGTCGGCCATGGATCCCGAACGCGGCAGAACTGGCCAACGCGACGAGTCAAGACTGGGCTGCAAATGTAAGCCCATCACTTGGAAAACAAGTAGCCGCAACCCACCTGCCGCAAGAACAACTCCGGCCAGCCGCGAACCCGACGCAACACGCCCCCGCCTTATCTCGATATCGCCATCTTCACCTTTCTCGCGTCGTCGTAAATCGATTCCGGCGCACTCAAGTAGGCAAACGCGGCAGAAAGTGGCAGCACTTTGTGCGCCGAAAGGCCCGTCTCGGCCTTATTGATAAGTGAGTGATCCCGAAATCGAAGTGAAACCCACCAAAAACTGACTAAGGCAATCAGACTTCATCGTGAAACTTGTTGGCCATGCGCGGCGCCGCGACGAGCTTGAGGGAGATGACGGTGGGATGGCGACAGTGGGGAGGGAGAGCGCCGTTGATGTCGACGACGAACTCAAAGATGGGAGAGAGGGAATCATGGGAAAAGGTGAAATCGGTGAGCCTTTTATATCCTCAGGCTTCGGAGCGCCCACTAAGCGAGTGACAGTAGCGGTGGATACCGCTTGACAGATGTTCCTAAGGGCGGGATTCGAGTCAAGTCGGAAGATGTAGATCGTGTGGGAATGATATCGGGGCAGTTCAAGGGATTCTGACGCTATATTATACTATCTTTATGTCCATACCACTGTACTGGATGAAATTGGACTGGTTCCAGCCTCCACAAGCTCTATAATACACAATAAATGTAAGTTTTCAGAAACCACAGGAAATGCAGCATTGGCAGGGCTCGGAACGCCCATGGATAAAGACCTGACAGGTAGCAGACATATGCCATGATGCTTCTAGCGCGTTTGCTAAGCGCAGGGCCAGATGGCCGTTGAAAACGGCAGAGGAAACCAGAACATCTAAGCATTCTAAGCATTGGCTTTAGTCTGTGAGGAAATCGGAGAATACGGGCAGATAACCGCTTACGTAATCATGATTTCTGTGAAAATTCAAGGTAATCGGCGCAAAATAGCATGCGTAGATGGCAGAAAACTGAAATTTGTGGTCTAGAGAATATACAGATTTTGGAGGCTATATATCGCGGGACAACGCGTCGCCGCCTGACTCAGGAGCTTACGTAAGACATTTTCTGAAAGTTTCTAAGCAATTGGAGCATTTCTGAGGCCACACGTCGCGAGATACTGCGCGAATTTCCTTTTTGGTCGAGTGGTGTTGGGTCACGTGACCTGATGTTCAACGACAATGTTGCGCGTCAAAGTGCAGGAACAGCCCTTATAAACTGTGAAACTGGCACAATTTCTCTTCTGGGGGAGAGCTTGAGAAAAAGGTAAAGACTGAGTGGAACAAGGAAAACAGCAGAGGCCAAACCCTGCAGCATAACCACTGCTCTATTGTTCGTTTACGCTTACTCTTCACAGCATTACATCTGCAGCACCCCGTGTCGGCAAAATGGCAAACTCCAGTTCGCCGCTCTGTATTTGCATTTGTGCGCGGGCTTGGCTCGCCGCACCCATTCTCATTCGTCGCGCCCAAACGTACATGACGCGCGCCGGAGTCGGATCTCCGCTCATAGTAGTTTGGTATCACAACGGCATTTGCTTGCCGATATCAAATTTGATGGTTTGGTGCCGAAGCTTGGGAAAGCTCCAAAAGCAGCCAGTCTTGGACTGGTTTGTGTATTGACCAGTGGACTCTGGAGGTCTTTGTTGTTCTCAGTCTAAGGTTCTGCATCCACTGCAAAATTTTGCGTGAAGACGGCATTGATGTTGATCGGAACTGATGTGTGACACGCTTGCGTTTCTCCGTCATGTTGACGACATGGACTAGCCCACCGTCTTTACGTGCGACCTTACGACAGTGCTTGGCAAGCTCCCCAAGCGTGTTCGCAACCCTCCCTCTGCGTGCTGCAGAGGCCAGTGTTGACCATTTGCTTCAACGAAACTTGAACACGCAAGACAGCCACATGCCGCCTGAAGTTCAACATTACTTTTTCCAGTGAATACTGTCAACAATGTCGCTTACGCTTAGAACTTACGCGCAATGTAACATCAAGTCACACTGTCGCCCTCTTTCCTCTCTCTACCACCACTGAAGTCCGTATTGCCCACTTCCACCCAGCGACGCCTCATTCAAGTTGCCTCTGGCACTACTGTGAGTTCGTTTCTGCTCCTTCTGCTCTCCTTTCCTCATCATCCTTGTGTAGCGCCGTTTGGGTGCCGCTCGTGACTGTCTTGACGCACTTGTAGTGTAGACCAGTTCCTGCAACCTTGTGAGGTCGTTTTTCACTCTGTTGACGGCGACTCGTACTCATAATCCTTGCAGCGCTGAGCGCCCTCCAGTTATGGCTTCACCAAATGCCTCAACGCGTAGCACTGGCGGTCCCGACTTGAGGGAATTCCTCTTGACAACGGTAAGTAATAATGCTTGAGGTATGGCTCAAGCAACGACGACTGACGAGACATATCATTAGACTTAGCGGGCTTTCGCGTCCGGTATCAGCCTCACCGCTTCAATCCCTTCATCACGCAGCCCTCTCGAAAAGCGCCTCCAACAAGCCTCCAATTCCATGCTAGCGGCGACATCCTAGCGCTGGCCAGCTCAGGTTCCAGACGGTGGCCATGGGTTCAGTCTCCCCGCCGCATTTACGCTCGTTGCAGTCGTCAAGTCTTGGCGCTCAACTAGCAACGCGCTCACTCGCGTGTCGCCCTGATTATTAGGACGGTAAGTAGCGTGTTTCAGAGCATAAACAACGACTCACAATGCACATTATCAGATTCGGCACGTCAACACATCAGTCGTGGCTGACAGTGCTGAGCTTGGGCCCGCTCTCGTGTCTGCGTGCTCTCATTCACGCCCCATGGTCTTCGGCTATGCCATACCAATACCCTTCACTCCCGCCGCCATATTCTTTCACCCCGCCGTCTCGACAGTCCACCATGATCTCGCACTAGCAAGAACCGCGCGGTGCTCTATATGTACCTGCCGTCCCACGCTCAACTGCA